GGGACGTTCCGAGCATCTCGAAAGTCCCAACACTGTGCTAGCACTCTGATAGAAAACAACTAAGCGGGGCCAGAGCAAAGGGACCCACTGCGCGAGGAATATGGAACAGAATGGGCTAAGCTTTGTCTCTCTTAACTTACTTGAAAGTTAACTTTGTGATAGTTTGTCTCTTTATTGAACCCCTGAAGAGGTACATACTCATAACCCCGAACACATACATAGATAAAAATGTGTTTAAAGAGTAAGTGTGCTCGTACTACCATAAAAGAAAAGAGGTGTTATGAAAACGCTGTACAACTGCCCAGTCTGGGATGGGACCCAAGCCAAGAAATAGCATGCAAAGTAATTTCCAGTTGGGCGTGTACTTGGTGGGCATGGGGGAAGCAGGCGTAGAGCTTCTTGGCAGAAAAACACCCACCCACCCTCAGCCCAGGCCAGCAGACTCAGACAGACAGACCCTGCTGGGGAGGAGCTCGTCTAGCAAGTGATAAACCACCTGAGCCATCAGTTATCAACAGATGCAACCAATGGGTGGACCGAACCCTGCAACTTCAGAAAACAGAATTTCTGATCAAGCCGCAGTGGGGCCCTTGTTATGCCCTGGGTTGCATGACCGAGGTCCCACGGTTGGAAGCCACCAGCTGCTGCAGTGGGGGTGGGGTGGGGGTGAAAGTCAGTCTTTCCACTTCCATGCGTAGTTAACAGCCGTGGGAACCCGCAGGTGCACTTCTGCCCCTACCTTACTGAGTTGCAATGAGTCGGAATTGGCTCGCAGGTAATGGGTTTGGGTTTCTGATTTATATTCGTCAAACTTTTGGAATCAATGTAATGTTTTCCTGATAAAAATTACATTGTTCCAACTTAAGTTATGTTCATGGATATTAAAAAGTAAATATATTATCCTCCCAGTTCAGGTAAATGCTGGGCTGCGAGCTGCCAGGTTGGCGGTTCAGGTCCACCAGCCCCTCTGGTATGTTTCATAGCCTATAAACCCTATAGAGCTTCATTAAGAATGGGAACTTTTTTGTGTAATGGAGTTATAGGATTGTTTTCTTATTCATCACACTGAATAACAACTAATTTTATTAAATATATTATGGGAGTAAGCCAAAAATTATTGCCACTAGGGCTCCAGTTCATACACATAGGGGTTTATTCTGAACAAAACATGTTTAACTGGAGCTCTGTGAAACGCAAATGGCTGCAGACAAGTCCTCTCAGTAACACACATCTCAGGCTCTTTCGGATGTCTTAAGAGGAAAGAAGAAAGGACGGTGGCTTGTGCGGAGCCCTGCTGGGGCAGTTCATGTCAAGGCAGAGGTCAGCGTAGGAGACAACGGGGACTAACTTGTGGGATTACTGAGGGGTGATTCTGACAGATTGGCTTAGGTACTCACAACACAATCACGGGGGCTTATTATAAAGAAGTTTCAAGAAATGGAAGACTGCATTAATGACAAAAGGCCAGGACATTTTCCCCAAGGGATATTTCACATCCTGACAATGTACCACCTACACTGTACCTACAACGTAACCATACTGTACCTACATTGTATTTATAATGTACTTCCAGGGTAGTAAGGGCTATCCTAAGAAAATTTTGTTGGGAAACCTTCCCCCATCCACCCTACGTCCCTTATCCTGTCCCTTCCGAGTTTATTTTGTGTCTCCCAAACTTGACACTTCAAAAAACACAATTTGAGCTCCCCTACAAGGAGGCCACATGCACGATGCATGCGCTAGGAATCTAAGAGCAAATCATTCTTCAGGGAAGGAGGGACTGTAGTCTGGATGGGGGCCGAGTCAA